TTAGGCTGTAATCAATGTGGTTGTTCAGAATATCGGTTTTTTGTAGGGTTGTCAGAGTGGCCACTAGAGTGAACCGACGCCGACTAGCGCTCAGTCCGGTCCTGCAGGGGCGTGCGTGGCCCTAAGCGCCAGGGCAGTGACCCCTCTACCGCGCCTTTGAATTCCGTCAATTCCGTCAATTCCGCACAGAACTCAGCTTGCGCCCAAACATTGCCTTGTAATTGTAATCAATTTTGCTGGGAAATGGCCTCCACTTGAGTTCGGAGTCGTTCTATCGCGTCGATCAGATCCGCAAGCTGCGGTACTTGCCCGACCTGCCCCATGCCTAGCTCACGCGCGGCTTGTTGACCCACACTTTGTGCTTTTCCTGGGCCTAGGCGATTTGTTTCAACTACGGAGGGGTGATGTGGGTCCTGGCACCTGGGACCAGTCGGATTTTCAGAAGTTTCTTGATCGCGAGCCGACATTGGGGGAAACAGGCTGTTCTGTCGTTTGAAATGCCGCCATTTGGATTCATATGCCCATATCAATGCAACAAATGGGAGATGAGTGGCTCGAAGCAAGACAATGCGCACGCGGCGAACGGTTCCGGCGGAGAGAAAAAGCCGCATGGGGCGGATGCAAAGGAGGGGAATAAGATTCTGCCGAATCTTAGCTTTGGAAATATTCCAGAACATACCAAGAAACATTCAAGGATCAGACGCTAACTGACCAGGGGTGGCATGAAGTATGTTAGTCGTCGAGAATTGCTGCTTTCTAGGACATAAATTGCCAACCTGATTGGTTTGTCAGTCAAAATGAAATATTTCCATGGGGCAGTGCCAACTTTCAGAAAGACAGGGATCTGTCTGGATATATCGGTATACTTACTGGAAAAGGTATTCTTCTCGAGCATGGCACATCACCTATTACACACAAGAATAAATCGGTTGCCACACAACTATAGTAGAAAGTATTACTTACCCCTTCTAGACTCATGCTCATCAAACTAACCAAGGATGAGAGAATAAGGGTATTTGTCATGAGAGCGAAAGTAAGCCTATCATTCATTCCAGTCAGTATCTTTTGCACTTCTGCGTGGAAGTTGCAGCAGATTCCTGTGTGCCAGTGACGCCCCCCCCTAAAAGTCATGCAACCGGACGGCACACCCAGGAACGTGATCAGAAGCAAATGCGACAACGAAATGAAAGAAAATTTCAGGAACTCACATCAAGCCATAGCCGAAGATGGGGGAGATCTAAAAATCTAGCGTGTCAGTCAACTTCACGCGATAGCCAACCAATTTTGCCATTATTCAGAGCTAATGCGATTGAGCTGCAGGACAGCCGCCTGGTGCGCAGACTTACTTCAGACGCGGTGTCCTATCATCCAATCAATTCAGCCACTGTCAGTGCACATGCCGGAAAAAAAATAAAGAGGACAACCCACTAGTCCAAGAACACTCGATCTGCCTCAGATGGTCAGTCACAGAAGAACAAGAGAGCGGTCACAGCAAGGATTATTTCACCGTACCCAAAGAACACTTTCACTAACAAATGTGACATTGTGCTGAGCGACAAGCGGTCACGCGCAAGCATAGTAAATGTGGTCAAGAACCCTGTAGGGATTCGTTTCAGCGATTAAGCTCTGACATGCTTCATCTGTCTAGGGCTGGATTGCTTAGCCACACTTACCAACATACAATACTACCACCACCGGAAAGAACTTGAAGAATGCTTTCGTCTGAAGCACATTGCCAATCAGCCTTGGGTTCCAAGCCCACGGAGCTAAAAATCAGGAAATCGCACCATCTCTTTCAATACTGGTATCTGTTCATAATCACAATTAGTCAATCCTCTTCTAGAACATCGATGGTTCATGCAGGATCTACTTACTAGACTGCCAAAGTATGAATTTAAGCTCACAAGCGAGCAGATCCTGTTCCTTCCGTGTCAGTCCTACTGCCCAGATACTGATTCCACCAATAGCAATACCTTGGTACAAGAAAAAGAGCCTCCAGGGAAAGAATGTCAAATGAGAGCTCAATAATACGATTGTCGTCCTTCGATAGCCCGACGACCCCTGTGGCGTCCTCATTAGTTGCACCATTGAGACAGATGACCTGCAAACAGCGAGCCACAAGGCAAATTGAGTACAGAGTGACTTACTTGTTATGACAAACGCAATTCCAACAGCAATGATGCTGAGGTTCCAGAGACTCCAGAAATCCATTTGGTAGAAAACAACTCCGGCATCAATGATTCCACTCAATTCATCATATGCAAAAGCGACGATCCATACGTACATCACCGCTTCGAAGATGCCAACGGCCTCTTGTCTCCTCTCTACTAGGACTGCGTAGTAGAGAAAGAGGAAAGACACGAAGAATGCAGCTTCAAAGATTTTCCGGTACAGAGGTACTCTCAGGCGTGAATATGGATCAGCCGTTCTGATGAGAGAAGTTTATCAGTATCTCCGCAATGTAATTGCTTGCCTTGTCTAACCTTGTGTTGAAAATATGAGGTTTCTTAGTTGAATTGACTGTCAGAGAATCCCAGAAAACGATTTCACCCTTCCAAATACCATCGACCACCCTTTGAACAACCCGCTGGCTCAGAAATCTCTTGGCATGGGCAATCGTTGCAATCTCCATTGCATTCAATCCAAGAAATTGAGAATATCTCTGGGTGGCACAGGTTTCCTCATGTCGGTGTGTACCTTGTGATGTTCCAGATGACTTAGTCTCTGTGATCCTTTTGTCGCCAAAAAGACGATGAAATGAGGAGGAGCTTTGCAAGAGAGGAGTGGTCTCAGTTTCTATCTGGCTTGCATCACGTTTAAAAGATGCCAGGCCAGAGCCACCTGCTTCGGATTCAATGATATTTGCCGAACCGCGCCGCGGCGTTGGTAGCTCTTCTAACAGAAATTCAATTGTCTCGCGCTGGTTCAGGTGGCACAGAAATTGCCAGGCAACAAATTCGCAAGCTGCACCGCGGCTCTCATTAAGTCCCCAGTCATCTTCTGTCGCAGCGGTGAAGTCCCATTTCAGAATCCTGGATTTGTTAACCAGTCTAGTTCCAGCGTCCTCTTTATAGTGAACTTACATCAATGCCACAATGATGAAGGGATTGTGAGTATCGTCTGCCAAAGCATGGACCAGTTGCCTTAGACGGTGTCCTTGTGATCCGTGTAGCATTTGTTCAAATGTGTAAGCCATATCACCCACAGCCATACTAATAAAACTACAGTGGCTTCATTAATTCTGCAAAATCGAGAGTGCAGACAAGACTTACTTAGACAGCTTGGGAAGAACATCGAATAACGGCTCATCGGTGTAAATCACCGGAATTTCCGTATGATCAATGTGTGAATCCATCTGGAGTTCTTCAATTAGTGGGTCTCCCTCGTAGCCACCGCCAGCACCAGTCACATACCGATGTTGAACGTCGAATGTTGAACCTTTGTAGAGTAACTCCAGGGTTTCTTTTTCAATGAATAGGGCCTTTTGTTTTTTGATCTCCTTTTTTTAACCTAGCGTATCCTCAAGGATAGGGCAGAACTGTAAGTATCAAGGCCAAGGTATCGGTGAACGGTCCATGTTATGTTATTTAATCAAAAGGAGTTTCAGTTGGCCACAAATAAGAATGTAGCAATGACCTTTGTCAGTATCTAAGATACAGAATTCACAATATTTAAAATGAAATAGGAAGAATCGAAAGTGGAAAAGGTGACGAGCTGGAAGTTGCCAACGACAAGTTGCTGACCGCCTTGTGCACGTGTCGACGCGTCCAGTGACTTCATCGGCCTCAACCCGACTTTCCTTATCGCATAGCTCTCCACCAGTCATCTGCGACTAACTAACCCAATCTCAGACTCTAAATAACCAACATCAAACCCTCAACGGGGAGATGAGGGGCAGTCGACACCATGGGACAAGGCTACTCCCTCACAACCCTATCCGCGGGGTCGGCGGGGATCGATGTGCCTGAATTATCGGACCTTGTGTATGAAAAGTCGATGGGGGGTGGCAGGTTCATGAAAAGCATTCGCGCAAGGCAACCAAACGGTCTGGTGTTCATCAAGGTTATCATGAAACCGTTCCCAACCATGGAACTTGAGCCATATATCAAAATAATCAAGAGTATGTTTGGATCCAGTTTTGCTATTTCAAGCATCTAATATCCATGTTCACTTCAGGGGAACGAAGGTTATTATCGGATGTGCCAAATGCGCTAAGCTACCAGAAGATTATTGAGACTGCCACGAGTGGATACCTTGTGCGCCAGTACATCCACAGCTCTCTTTACGATCGAATGAGGTATGTATGTCGCAGCTGTTACCAGTGAATGAATCCTGACATCGATCTAGCACCCGGCCTTTTCTAGAGCATATTGAGAAAAAGTGGATTGCCTTCCAGCTGTTGTGTGCTCTTCGAGATTGCCATTCACTAGATGTGTACCATGGTGATATCAAAACTGAAAACGTTTTGGTCACAGCCTGGAACTGGCTTTATCTTTCTGACTTCTCATCCTCTTTCAAACCCACATTCCTCCCTGAGGATAATCCGGCAGATTTTTCTTTCTTCTTCGACATCTCCGGGAGGCGGACCTGTTACTTAGCCCCCGAGCGGTTCTCTGTTGCCGTGGAAGAGCCGAGTGGAAGCGGCGTCAACTGGGCAATGGATATCTTCAGCGCTGGCTGTGTCATTGCTGAGCTCTTTCTTGAATCGCCAATCTTCAACCTAAGTCAAATGTACAAGTATCGCAAAGGGGAATACAGCCCAGAACACAGTCAACTAGCAAAAATCGATGATCCGGATATCCGGGAGTTGATTCTCCATATGATCCAACTTGAGCCAGAGTCCCGGTACTCGGCAGATGAATATCTGAATTTCTGGAAGGGTAAGGCCTTTCCGGAATACTTCTACAGTTTCCTCCACCAGTATATGTCCCTCATGACCGATCCTTCTTCCGGGCGAACAGATGTTGATGCAGAATTAGCCAGCCGAGGGGAGGCAGACGAACGAATTGAGCGAATTTACCTAGACTTCGATAAAGTATCTTACTTCCTCGGTTGCAACACCCGTGGTGTTGGAGCCCTGTCTAATGTCCCAGTCTCCAAAATGACAGGAAACACTCTTCCTGTGAGGCTAGATCTGCCAATTTGTGGATCCCAAATTTCGACACCGCAACCACAGTCAGACGAGGGTGCTCTGATTTTCCTAACACTTGTGGTATCCAACTTGCGAAACACATCCAAGGCATCGGCTCGTATCAAAGCCTGCGATATCCTTCTTGCATTTGCGGAAAGGCTATCAGATGAAGCTAAATTGGATCGCATTCTTCCATATATCATGGTCTTATTGACCGATCGGACCGATGCTGTCAAAGTCGCTGCGATCCGCACCTTAACCCACTTGCTGAAAATGGTCCAGGTGGTTTCCCCAGTCAATGCTTATCTATTCTCTGAATATATATTTCCAAGGCTCCAGCCTTTTGTTGCTACCTCCAACAGCAAGCCAAGTGCCATGGTGCGTGCGGCATATGCCTCATGCATTGCGTCATTGGCCCAGTCATCCTTGAGGTTTTTGGACATGATCCAAGCATTGCGTTCCGATACCCGTTTGGCTGCGTTGATCCCGGTCGGCTTTGAGTCTCGATGGACTGAGGATGCGACGTATCACAATCTCTATGACGTGGCTCGGGTCGATCTTCTGGAATACTTCGAGGTTCACACAAAAATGCTGTTGACAGACACGGATGCATCAGTTCGGCGGGCCTTCCTGGGCTCTGTGTCCAGCCTCTGTGTCTTTTTTGGTAATCTCAGAGCAAATGAGGTTGTGCTTAGCCATTTGAATACCTACTTGAACGATCCAGACTGGATTTTGAAATGCGCCTTTTTCGAGGCTGTCATCGGCGTTGCCGCCTATGTTGGGAGCCTGAATCTGGAGCTATACATACTGCCGCTGATGGTTCAGTCCATGACTGAACCTGAGGAGTTTGTTGTTGAAAGGGTGATTCGATCTCTGGCAGCCATGGCTGACTTGGGCTTGTTCCAACGATCAACAACGTGGGATCTACTTGATACGACTGTTGGGTTTTTAGGGCATCCGAATATCTGGATTCGAGAGGCAGCAGTCCAGTTCGTGGTTAATTCCGCCAAATTTCTATCAATAGCGGATGTTCACTCTATCCTGACACCCATTATCCGGCCTTTCCTTAAGATCAAAATTGTTGTGTTTTCAGATATCCATATGCTTGATGCACTCAAGCGGCCAATGTCGAGAGGTGTGTACGAAATGGCTCTCCTCTGGGCTTCAAAATCAGAAAAAGGTGTTTTCTGGAAGTCGCCAAGTCGCGAGGGCATGTTCAGCTTGTCTGAACCCGGGTCGTTCAGTCCCCGCGTGGGTCAGCGGAATCCTTCCCTTAATATGGCCTCTCAATCAAGGAATGACGAGGACGAACAATGGCTTGGTCGGTTGCGAAACCGTGGAATGGGCCCAGAGGACGAGTTCAAGTTTCTCGCACTCAAAGACTACATTTGGAGGGTCTCGTTGCGACAATCGAGAGAAACCGAAGTTCACCCAATCCCACCCTTGAACGACATTGTCAGTTTGACACAGCATGGTGTTAAGCCCCAGACTGTGTTCTTTGACAAGGAAATTAAAGACCAGTCGCGAGCAATTACCTTGGATGCAAACGATGGCAACGTTGAAGATCTAAGGCCAAGAACGATCGCAGATGCTTTGCTTGACGCTTCTACAACCATTGAGCGAATGCCCAGTGCTCAGCGCAAGCACTTACGGTCCAAAAGCCAACTTTTGAATGAGACAAGACGTGCCTCGCGTGTTCCTATCTTGGACGGAAATGACAACTCTTCATTATTATCGTCTCCAGTGGCTTTGTCGCCTGCCGGAAGACCTTCGTCTCGTCCATTGTCCTCTCCGAACTTTAATAAGGATCCAAGGCTTTCTAGTTGCCGACTGAGCCCCGGACAAGACAGTTCATTGACAGTAAATAACGCAGATAGCAGGAGTCTATCCGATCGCGTACATAAAAAGTCTAACGCGATGGGTTTGTTGAGTCGCAAAGACACCGCCAAAGCTTACGCTGAGACGGGCACGAGCTCCACAAATGCCTTTGGAAAGGTAGACGCACCGGTCCAAAGAGGAGGCACACCACGTCCATTGACACCATTACTCTCAACCGAGCACAAATTGACTCAACAAATGCCGCAGAAATTCCATGCACACCATTCGTATGGCGGCAACGACCCGGCGGTTCTGCGACTGCTAGATAACGTCTTCGAAGAAAACTACCCGACAGACCTATTTGACCTAGGGCCGTATGTCAAAGAAGTTGACGCCCGCCAGCCGATTTGCAGCGCCACTGATCAAGAACCGAGTAAGATCTGGAAGCCTGAAGGGAATCTGGTCGCGACTTTTGGTGAGCACAGTGCGCCAATCAATCGTGTCGTGGTGGCACCGGATCACTCCTTCTTTGCTACCGCCTCCGATGATGGCACGGTGAAGATTTGGGATACAACTCGTCTGGAAAGGAACTTAACACCTCGATCCCGTCAAACACATCGTCATGCAACAGGCTCGCGTGTGAAAGCTTTGACCTTTGTTGAGAATACCTATACTTTCGTCAGCGCGGCCACCGATGGCAGCATTTATGCCGTTAAAGTGGACTATCAGAAAGTCAGCCAGACAGCTGCTCGATATGGCAAGCTTCAAATTGTTCGCGAATATCAGCTTCCCCTAGCTGAAGACGGATCACACGAGTACGCGGTCTGGATGGAGCACTTCCGCGACGAAGGGCAGTCCACCTTGATTATTGCGACCAACACTTGTCGCATCCTTGCGTTGGACATGAAAACCATGCTGCCGATCTATACACTGGAGAATCCAGTTCATCATGGAACTCTGACTACATTCTGTTGCGACCGCAGACATCACTGGCTGCTAGTCGGCACAACTCATGGGATCCTCGACCTGTGGGACCTCCGGTTTCGTGTGCGGTTGAAGGCATGGGGCCTTCCAGGCTGGGGTGCCATCAACCGGATCCAGTTACATCCCGTCAAGGCCCGCGGACGCTGGGTCTGCGTGTCCAGCAGCGGCAGCCACGGTAATGAAATCACGGTGTGGGATATCGAGAAGTTCCGCTGTCGCGAGGTTTACCGAGCGACCCCACTGGGTGTTGGCAACAATGGCCCCCATAGCGCACATCATCCTTCCCGCACCCCTTACACCTACCCGACCCCCGTCGTGCCGAGTAATTACGAAGCGTGGCGGGTTGATGGGGACCGGCCAGAAGGGATGCTGAGTCGCTTTGCAACCAACGGCCCTGAACCAGGTACCCCGTCTTCCAACAATTCAGCCGGTGATCGACTCGGCATCTGGGCATTTGCGGTCGGCCTCAATGCCCCCGGTGAAGACAAAGACTCCAACACGAAGTGTGGGTACATCATTTCCGCGGGGTGCGACCGGAAGATCCGGTTTTGGGATCTGGCTCAGCCGGATCTCTCCTCGATAGTCAGTGGGCTCGACGTCGTCTTCGATGGTAGTGCCAGTGGCAAGCCACGCTATGAGCAGTCCCAGCCCGGCCCCAGTCTCCTGGTTACTACTGAATACCTCCCCAGTTCATCCAGTACTGGCAGTTCTCGAGATACCAGGAAGGGAGCCAGCCCAAGGCCGCCGCGTAGTACCGTCATCAGCCTACAGCAGCAGATGTTATTGAAAAGCCATTTGGATATTATTCAAGATGTGGCCGTTTTGCGTCTGCCGTATGGAATGGTCGTGAGCGTCGACCGTGCTGGTATGGTGTACATCTTTTCTTAGACCTTATCGGGCATTCGCCATGTGATATCCTCGGTGGAACTTGGAACTTGGATAGCCTCTAGAATTTTACGTCGTATCTCATGACCTGTCCACTAAGTGTATTTTGGCGGGATGTACTCCGTAGTATTCGGTACAATCTAGGAATTGTTTCCTGTGTCTTTTTATAGAACTTCTTCATTGGACAGGCATGATTTTCACTCGAGTACGGAGTACGGAGCACGGAGTAGGGAAATCTATATTAATGCTACTCCATACGGTCCATGGTCCATGTGTACAACATACCTCGCCCTAACCCCTATCATGGACAATAGCACAAAACGGTCAAACTAGCGAAGCTACTGACCCACCACAGATTCAATTACATTGTACCACCGTATACTCATCTATACTCATCTTACAACATCCATTTACCTCGGTAGATACCCAGCTTCATTCTCGAGGTTGAACCTTCCACCCGATACCTGGGTACCTCACTGCAATGTACCGGATATCTAGGCGCATGCAGGTTTCAGCTGCAGGTACTCCGTACTTAGGTATCGGATACGACGCCCATTGGTACTTGGGTTTTGCTGGGGAGAGCTGTGTTGTGGGTCCTTGCGCGAAACAGAAACATTGGGTGGATCGCGTTGTGGATCGACAGGCCAGAGACCCTAACGAGGCTTAGAGTAAGGAGGGTTCTGGAAAGGCTTTGAAGGGATTTTAGGAGATTTTTTATATTGTCCAGAGTACTCCATATGGAGTAAACACTATCAATTAAGCTTGCCAGAGGTTTCTTGCTTCGAACGTTCAATCTACGATGTATGGGGTACAGAGGAAGGCATCGGTTATCTGCGAGAAATGACCACGAGTATTTTGAGGGGAGAGATTAAAACTCCCCCCCCCCCCGGTAAATTAACCTGTGTAGAACAAGGAAATGCATATGATAATTTCGGACATAAGGACTCTCCGAGTTTATATTTATACACTTAGTTAAAGTACAATGCACCCAGGACTAACGTGACAGTGACAGTGACAGTTCACACCTTGTACATGGGGGGGGGGTTTTTTTTTAAACAAAAAAAAAAAAAAAAAAAAAGAAGGGTGTTCGCCAGTGTACCTATTTATTCAAAAGGTTGCAGTCTTCTCATCTCGACTGGCCAGATGTTTACCGTTACCCATATACTCCGTACAGGGAGGATTGTGTACTCCGTCGTGGTTCCTTGCCACATGGACCCAGAACCTTGCCAAGTCGTGAGGGGCCTGATTCGGGAAATGAGATCTCCACCGAAACTGCCAGACTTGAGTAGCTCGGTAGGCTAGCTTAGCTTGCCCGCTTTGACGGGATAACACGAATTAAGTATGTCATATTTGGGAAACGGGGGAATATATGTATAGGGAAGACAGAGCATACATCTGTGATATTCCATTAGATATTGCACCTTACCTTAATACATTATTACAATTTGTCCTAGATGTACCTCCTATTGCTTTTCCTCTCGAATGAAATGGACAACACTTTACATTTTAAAAAAAAAATAAAAATCATTCAGGGGGTCAGATTGCACAAAGCTGGGAGATCGAACCGATGCGAACTGGCCAGGGGAACCAATCAGGGAAAGTGTTCACCCAGGGTCGGGATCTTCAGATCCTCACGATCTTTGAATTCGGCCTCAAATGAAATTCGATGATACTGTAAGGATTTTCTAGACCTTGATCAAAGTAAAGAGGTGGGTGGAGTCTCCTCACTGCTCGCAGGCGGAAACCGAGGAACTCGCAGAGATATAAATGTGGTATGGTCGCCCGGCAGATTACCGAGGAGAGAGGACATGAATTGAGGATCCAAGTTTGATCCAAGTGAAGATGAATAGATCTATGAGAATAGGCACAGGATAACATTGCCTTAAATGTAAATTCTCCGTGATTTGAATCATTTCATATCAAACCCTGAAGAACAAGACCAACGACATGAAACAATAAATACATGCCCCGTAACCAAAATACAGCACGGCTGATTAAAGTGGGGAGAACTTCGTCCAGGTCTTTAATTCGATTCTTCTTCTCCTATTTGTCCCCCTACACCTTCAGGGCCTTCCTCATTCTTGGGTTTCTGTTATTTTTTTTTTTCAACTGCAAAATTTGGATGCAGCGGGTGTATTCTCGAGTCTCGAGTACCATTGAAGTTTCACCCGGACTTCTCACACTCTTTTTTCAAATCTCCCCGACTTTCCTTGACCTTGGGTAAACACATCCACTCATTTCGAACTCTCAAGCAGGGCTTCCTGTTCCTCAATTTCTACATTCGTACATCCCAAGGAATTCCAACGGATTCTCCTAACTTTACTCCTGAACTCGACAGATTCAAGACACCCCCTCCCCCCGCCGAGATATATATACTTAGATATATATAAATCTACATTGCAACAATGGCCCTTTCTCTGCGAGATCATGGGTCTTCTGCCCGGCCATCCACTCGGGATCGGCCTACGACACGCGGGGAAGGAGAAAATTCGCTGGTCGTTCCTAGTCGCACATCGTCATTGCACTCGCGCATCACCCAACCTATTCCGTCCACACTCAGCATCAAGCCCGCTCAGCGGACACCGAAAACACTCACTCATGCTTATATGGTCTGTGGTGTTGGCCGCGAACCTTCACAATGGGTCAAAGCGCCTGTCCCCGCCCAGGGCAAGATTGGCCACATGAAGGGAGCTGTCGGGCAATTCTGGCTCCCCGAGATTTTGGGAAGCAGCCCTCGACTAGAGCAGGACAACGAGATCGCACAAGCCCTACACTCGGCCATGCGAGCATGCTTCCCTCACGACGTGGAGATCTGCACCGGCAAGAGTCAGCCTCACTGTGCACACCACGCGTTCGTGTTGCAACAGGACTCTTCTCATACTCTGTACGGTATCGCGCTGCGCGTTTGGTCCCGGGCCGATGAGAAGCGCGCGGAGACCATCCGCGAGTTGCGCAAGAAGACGGAACCGGACTTCTACGATAACCCCGATGAGACCTACTGGATTCCTTACTGCCTGAGCTTCCTCTCCCGGTATCCCCTCTACGATCTGCTAGGTGACTACCTCCGCGGGATGTGGATCCACTGGAATAAGGCTACCAACCTGTTCCACGCCGAGGAGGTCTCTCGCATCCTTAGCTTCCCAGCCCCGCGCCTGAACGACTTGGTCCGCATTGACATGAAGGATTATGCCCTGTGCTATCAGTTCCCCTCGTCGCCTACCGGCTTTCAGAACTTTGCGATGTGGCCGTTGTTCACTTGTTTGTCGATCCCCAACATTGTCGGCGTGATAGAGGCTGCTGTCTCACCTACCCGCCGCGTCATCTTCGTCAGCCACTACCCGGCGATGTTGACTGTCGCTGCGGAAACCATTCGCTACTGCGTCCGCGTCTACGAGTGGAGTGGTCTTTACGTCCCCGTGGTTCACGCCCGCCACGTCAAAGACCTGGTTCAGGAGCCCGGTCCCTACATTCTGGGTATCACTGCCGAGTGCCGGACTCTGTTCAACGCCCCGTCCGATGCCCTGGTGGTCGACCTCGATCGCAACTTTGTCCTCACCTCCAGCCCGCCCAATGTGTTGAACCAGGGTCAGCGCACTAAGTTTATCAACCGCATGACCCAATCCCTGAATGGTGATGTCTCGCCTTCTGGGGTGCCCCCGCACCTGCGCACTGCCTACGCTGGCGGCAAGCTCATCCCAGCTGGTCAGATCATCGTCATGAGAGGCGAGGTCGAAAGCATCGAAGATCCCCAATGGTGGAACCAGGATGCCATCATGGGCGTCATGGACCATGTGTGCGAGAAGCTGGTACGTCTACACACCTGAGATTGGCCACTAACCAGAATCGAAACTAACGTGACATCTACTAGGGTCGCAACACTGGCATGAAGGCCATCTTTGGTGGCTCCGTCAAGAAGCCCCTCATGACCAAGGTTTCCATGCGTCACCTCAACGAGATTGTCCGTGAGCGCAACCAGTACTCTCGGGATGCCATGGAAGCGTGGCAAGATTTCATTAACCTCAAGGGCAGAATGGACACCGAGCTCAGCAAGGTCACCAAGCGCAACAACTTCTTGGTCGAGGAGCTCGAGACCTGGAAGCAGCAGTTCCTCAAGTTCCAGGCCTTTGCTGAGCAGCTCACCAAGGAGACCGCTGAGCTCAAGGTCAAGATCGAAACGCATAAGCGCGAGAGTCGCCGCCTCACTAGTCTTATTGACCAACAGAGGGACGATGTGGTTCGCCTTACTCTGCGCCTTTCTGGTACTGAGAAGCAGCGTGACGATGCTCTCGAGGCACTTGTCCTTCAGCAGGAGATTGCCGAAGAGCTTGAACGGGAGCGCAAGCGCAACCAGAAGGAGATCTCCGCACTCTCTCACACCAACGCGACTCTCGTCCGCGAGCGCGAAGATGCCCAGCGCGTTGTCATGCACCTGCGCAGCCTTATCAACGGCCAGAGCCACCACATGGAACATATTGTCCGCTCCATTGGTAGTAGGTCTGAGATTACTGAAATGGTCGAGCAGGGCTACGAAGACGCTCCCGAGGAGCCCAAGGAGGATGTGTCAGTCGCCGAGTCGAAGGAGTCTGTCAGGACGGCTACGAATATCAATGGTCACAATACTCTGGTAAATGATATGAAGCCCGAGCTAGAGCAGCATTTGCTGAACCTCGGAAAGGATCACAAGACCCTTGCGCGTCTCAGCATCACAGATGTCGCCGACCGCTACCTGCGCGACAAGACCGATGCCATCGCAGACATTATCCGCAGCATCAGCGACCAGTGCGCCGCCGCCGTCGAAGGTCTGCACCTGGCCCAGGACGCCGAGGAAGAGGCTGAGAGCTCCAATCTAAACCAGAACGACCATCTCGGCTCCGACTACGACAACATGGACGGCCGCTCCACCCGCGCTCCTAGTGTGATGAGCGACGCTGACAACAACTCTCTCCACCCAGACAATTATCACTCTAGCATCCCTCCAACTCCGGAGCTAGTTCATAACCGTTCCAGTACGTCTATGTCCATGATCAGCAGCTCGACTTTCCCCGAGCGATCAAGTCAGCAGTATGGCCCCGGCGAATTCCCAACCCGAATCGTTGAGGATGATGATGAACACGCGCACGTTACTGAGAACATTGACGACCAGCAGACTCAGCGCGGCACTTTGTCCAAGCACAATAGCGAGGATTTCATGCGGCCCAATCCCACACGGGTGATCTAAATTTTCCATCAGCTTTTCAGGTTAGATGACTGAGACGATGTTGTTTCTGTTTTGCCTTCTCTTCTCTGTCCATTCCTTCTTCTCCTTCTGTCTGGCGAGGTCTTTTCCCCCTTTTCTCTTTTTCTTCATCTGCGCAGTATCCTGGATGCGCACAAACGCTCTACTCTGGTTGTCGGGCGTACTTCTCATCTTTCGTCGTGTTGATTTTTTGATCTTGATTATATCCACCCGACCATCCATATGTTTTCTTGTCCAATAAATTATGGTCACTTTTACCTTCTCCGGAACTCGTGCTCCATTTTCTTCTGTCTCTGTTTTATTTTTTAACATTTATTTTTCTTTCATTTTGCCCTGTTCTCCACCCGAGGAATCCGTTTATTTGCTATATGTCGTGCCGTCTGGGATGGACCGGCTTGATTTGTTTGATTTGCGCGCATCTCGAAGAGAGAGCCCTCCACTTTGCACCACCAACCGCACTGTCTGCGGATGATATTTCCTATTTATCTACAGTCCATGATCTGGATTAATGCGATCTCCCAGGGGTGATATAGCTCTCTGTCATTTTCTTAAAATGGATTCTGGGAATTTGAACTTTTCTAATTCCTCTCAAATTTACATCCAATGTAGCCGAGCAACTTCGAAAGGCTTATGGAGCCATTCCTGCCAAATCCTCTTCGGATTCATATGCTAATCATAAATGCAACCTAACTGATGCTTAGGACCCCAATTCAAGCCAACTTGCCCGGCACAAAGGGATGTCCAGCACTCAACCCACCACACACCGCCCAGGCCTGTCCGTTGACATAGCTACTCTCATCACTACCAAGGAACAGTGCAACACGCGCAACCTCATCAGCAACAGCTCCCCGCTGCAACGGGTTCAGTTGTCCGACCTTACGCTCTGTCCCGCGCTCCCGCGCTCGGTCAAACACCGACTGCGTCATCCCTGTCTCAATCAGGCCAGGACAGATTGCGTTCATGCGGATGCCCGACCCAGCGAGCTGGTACGAGACCGTCTGCGCGATCGATACGATTGCTGCCTTTGAGGCGGAGTAGTCAGTCGAACCTGCGTTGGAGCGGAGACCTGCTACAGACGCTGTGCCGATGATTGAGCCGCCTGGATATGGCTTCGAGGCGGATATTATCTTCATGGCTGGGGCTGCGTGCTTGGCT